TGTGGGGGTGATATGCTGACTCTGTAAACCGCTTAGAGAGGGCTGAAAGCCCTATGAAGCGGTATATAAGTCTAACTGCTATTGCTATTGCTAAAGTTGGAAATGCAGATAGAATATTGAGGATATCTCCTTCCTTACCAAACTGCACCATTCCTTCCAACCATTCCCAATTGCTCATCATGCCTCAAATAGAGGTATAAAATTTCATATAGGAAGCTAGGAAAGGGATTGTACTGTTGTCCTGATCCTTTCATGAATAGATTAGCCGCAACAACAAAAAGATAGCAGAAGGGAAAACCTGGGGTGAGTGTAGATGGTTTCTGATGTTGTGTAGACCTTTTGTAGAATTGTGTGAAACGAATGACAATTGTACACTGTCTAAAAAAGACGCAGGAAATAAAATGTAAAACGCACTGATTACAACAGCCAATAAGCTCTAGGCTTATGTACAAAAAAGTAAGTGAGTGGGTGTGTGGGGAAAAACAGGATTGGACAAATTAAGAAAGGCAGGTCTGCTTGGTGATTATTAATAGATGCCAGATTATAGAGAGTTTGACCTGATCCAGCAGGGCAGTTGCCTGCCTTCAATTGTGGAGCACTGAGGAATCACAATTGGAATCTCTCTCTGCTACCATTGTGCTAACATGCTGTTGTACCCCAAATATACTGTAGATAATAGCCACCCTTGGAACTGAGAATACATTCTAGGGATTCTCACACAAAGATTGCTACGTCAAATCATAAAACAAGGACATACCAAAATATGAACAAATCCCTGGGCTGCACACATCCCAATAAACTATTTTCTAAGAAAGTTTCTGAGGACAACACTATACCTCCAAGACACCTGCTGAAACCTTAGGTTAATCTCAAGGATGGTATTATTGTTGTTTTGGAGCAGCCTTACTTCCCAATAATTTTCTTTTGATTCAAAGAATTTTAACAAAACTGGGCTTCAAGGATCTAGGGGTGCCCATGGGACTTGTAGACAGGCATACAGTCACCCCATGCACCCCATTGCTGAGGACTCTGGTATTACAGAAAAATAAACTGTGATATTTTACTAAACAAATTTAACAGAGATCAAATGCCAATCTCCTGTTAATCATGCTTTTATAATTCCGATGTCTATCAAATTCACTCTTCATTTTGGAGCAGAATGTACCTAGAAAAGTATGTGGACCTAACAAAGTTATAGGTCAAGAAGTGTTATCTATGTCACTTGTCTTTGTCTTAGTCAAAATATGCAGAGTCTGATAAAGTGTCCTCCCCCATCATGTGTTCAATAATCCCCCTATATTTTCCTAGCAGTTGTTTTGGCATTTTTCTTTCCAGATGGAATACATTAAGGAGGAGAAGATGGAACGGTTGTCCTGTGCTTTTTCATTAGTAGCACTAGGAGTGCTTTCTATCTGAAAGCAACCTTGATTTGCCAGTTCTCCTCCTTCTTCTTCTTTTAAAATAAATCTGGCAAATCTAACCCTATCCTGCAATCTTTACTGGTGCTTTACTTTAAATGCTTTATGACATTTATTTGTTTGTTTACATTGTAAATTTATTTAAAATGTAAGTAACCCTGAGGATATGCCTGGCAAAGCAGACAACACTCACTAAAGAAATCAGTAGCCTTTTGGTTCTATGTTTATGGACCTTGAGAGATAAAGCAATGATGAATTAGAAGAATAGTATGTTCTGTCATATAACCTGGTGGGTGAAAATATAAAATCCCCATAATATTAAACAGCCTTATCTGGTGGAGTGATTCATGAGCAAAGTAGATGAAAAAAGGTATTGGGGGGGGGGATAAAGTATATACCACAGTTGTGTGACATAACTTCTAATTTAGGGGCTCTCATCTCTTAATTACAACAAATACCTCTAGTACAAATGCAGTATAACAAGGGGAATACATATTTGTTTGTACATCTATTAACTGCAGCTAGAATTGAATTTGCACAACAATGGAAAAGTGAAGAGATCCCTACAGATGAAAATGTGATTTAAAAAATATTAGAATGTGCAGAAAGGGATAGACTTGCCATTAAGGAAAAGGAATACTTTTTGACATGGGAGTTATTTTATCAATGGCTGGCAGTTTCTAACAATTAGAAACATGTAGATAAAAGAAAAGGACTCATGATACAAGGGAGGCTTGTTAAATTGATGAAGTAGTAGTAGTTGTTGATATTACTGTATTAAACTAATAGCAATGTAATGAATATTGTTGTAAACATTTTGATTATTTCCTAAAATATTTGTACCCAGACAACATATTGTTTAACTAAAAATAGAATTTTTATGTTATAAAATATTTTTTTAATAAAAATACCAAAACAAATGCAGTTTGTTCTTGCATAATTTACAATCACCTTTCTGTTCTTTCTTTTATAATCACCTTTCTGTTCCCCTCAAAGTAAATATTAGCATTAGCAAGTTGATAAGTCAGACATATATCCACTTTCCAGCAATCCAAATGACGTCCCCCTCCCCTCCTATATCCCATAACCCAATTAGAAAAGGCCCTTTAAATCTTCAAATATTGGCCATCAGATCCCACCACAAAAGACCAGTAAGACACAGTACTTGGAGTTTGTGTAGGTGTTGGTGCCTCTGCCACCAGCTTATGAGGAGTCACTGGCCCATTAGGTCCTTCTGGGTAATCAGGGGTTAAAGCAGGCTGCTGTGGAAACTATTGTAGAAGATAAAACAAAGCAAGAATTAGCATTTTCTCTAATAACTACTTTTTAAAAATCTGCTGCTTCTCCAAAAAATATTATTTCAGCAATCCTTATGAACTCTTCAGCAGAAGCAGCTATTTTCCCCATGCTACAAAGGGGATGGCAAACCCAGGGCAGAGTTTGTGGCATGGAAGTGGCCGCAGAGCCATCTCTCCAGGCAGGCCAGCTGTCACCTGTTGCTCTTCCAGGTTGCAGCGCATGCATGTGTGCCAGCCAGCTGGTCTTCGAGCTTGCAAGAGTGCTGGAAACTGGAAGAGCAGCTCCCCGGCACGCATATGCGTGCCGGGAAGCTGAGCTTCCAGTTTCCAGTGCACACATGCGTATCGCCAAGCTGGTCTTCACACACGCATGCAGGCCAGAAACTGGAAGCTCAGCATCCCAGCACGCATATGCATGCCAGGGAGCTGCTCTTCCTGTTTCTAATGCTCCCACATGTGCGCACGCACGCTCCCATTTCGGCAGTCAGTGCCGAAAAGGTTCTCCAACACTGCTGTAAGTTGAATTGCAGTTTCTTTAGTGGCACTCAGTGAGTTTGCTCTGAGTTTTAACTTAAGACTTCCTGTTTCACATTTCATCTACCTAGTCACTATGTCTCATTGGTTACACTTTATTTTTCTTCTTTCCACTATTGTTGTTTTTTCATTTTATTAATCTCTCGTTCACTACCTCAGTCTTTCCCTTGTCCTCTACTTCCTCATCCACATCCTCATCCACAAAAGCGAATGATTCATGCTTCCACTGGTGTCCATCATAAGATGCTTCAATCAGTTTCTGTGGTGTCTCCCTGGCAAGATGCAGACGTCGGTCTGGGCTGAGGTGTCTGAGCAGCAGACCCTGGAGCTCAGTTCGCTCCACTGAGCCCATGAGAATCATGGAATCTAGAGAAGGGGAAAGCAAATTAAAAAAAATCTAAGGTCTAAAATTCAGGAACGATCAGAGAGTCACTTGACAGATCTTCAGCTTATGAATCCATTTTACATGATGACCCTTACACCTTTATGATGAACAGGAAATAATCAGGAGTGGTCTTCAAAAATTTCAGCAGCTGGTACTCTGCCCGGTTGCTGGGTGGGCGTGGTGATGGTGGGCATGGCCTAGGCCTCCTGCATCCCTGGGGGGCATTTTCACCTTCCCCAGACTTCGGAGACTTTCCTTGAGCCTCTGGTAGGGCAAAAACAGCCTCCCCTGGGCTCCGGACACCCTCCAGAGACCTTAAACAGGTCCGTTTCCGGCCTTCTGGAACTTCCAGGGCGCCCATTTTTCCCCCTCCCCGAGCCTCCACATGGGCATTGAACTTACCTCGCATCCAAAATGGGACGGGTGAGAGGGGTGGGATGGGGCAGGGTGGGGCCAGCCAGGGGAGGGATTTGGAGTTTCTCCAAATAGCTATGGGTTCTCCCGAACCTAGATGAACCCGTAGCAGCCCACTCCTGGAAATAATGTCTCTGGACTGCCTTATGATTTTAGATATATTTTCTTCTAAGAACACAACTAGAGTGCAAGCTCCAGCCATATTGTAGGAAGGTAACTCCAGGAAACTTCCCTCTCACAATCACCTCATAACTCTCTTAACTTCCCTCTCACAATCACCTCATAACTCTCTCTTAGTAACAGGTCGGGGCTGTAGAAGAAAATAGAAAAATATCAAGGAATACACCTCAGAAGGCTGAATTTCATCATATGTTATAGAGCAGCAGATTTCAGTGTGTTTGGAAGAGCTTGGAGAACTCTGGAAAACTGATCTGTTTCCCAATGAGAAAGAATCTAACAGCAGGCAGCATTCCTTTCATATGAGATGACTCAGAGAAATGCATTAAATAAAATTTAATTTTAGAAATGGAGAAAATGGAAGAGAGGAAATGTGACAGGAATCTATTTATATAAAAAGTAGTTAGAAATTAAGACGCTCTGGGCATATCTACTTTCTGCTTTGTCCACACCACTTCTCCTCTGCCTACACATGTGCATTCTTGAAATATTCAATAAATTCAGAATATACCTCTGAATCATCAACCAACTATTGAGTTTCCATTGTAGACAAGTAACAGACAAGGGAAAACCATTCCAGAGTCTTGCTAGAATCAAAGTGCTTCTTGAGTCATGATTAGGATGTAAAAGAATGAGTGGAATCAAAGACTATATAAACATTTGATCTGGAGCTAACAAATGCCATCTCAATAATGCTCTGGTTTTCTTAGCTAGGGCAGTTCTTTGGACTGCAAAAATACAGACAATCTGTTATTTCTCTCTATCCCTTTGCTGCCACATATATCATTATTTTCTTGCACAGCTACCCACTCACAAGGACTTAGGATAGCATACAAATTAAAAACTATAATAAAATCAATTTTCAAAACAAAATAGCAACCAAAGACATTCATCAATGCACTACCAGGGATCTATATTTTGCAGTTCAGTTATGTTATCTCCTCAACTATCATTGAAGCTTTCTGACCATGAAGCGGCCTTAATGTACCCTTTCCAGAAATACACTATCCCCTTCTTCCCCTCCTCCTTCTTCTCTTCCATCAGGGTGAGATTTCCTCACAGGACTGCAGCTGCTGCTGATTCAATTCAGTATTTGGCATCAATGCCCTGTAGCTGCCTTCTCTCCCACACAAGGTACTGGATCCTAATGCAGGATGGTTGGTGACCAAAACCTACTATATGGCATTCTATGGCAATTGGCTCACTCTGTTGCCAATTCTCAGTGCAATTTCTTCAACCTGCGTGATAGGAGGATTGTTGAGTTTATCTATGGTGACAGTAAGGTGTCTGATAGCCCTTTTTAAAACTAAGAAGTTTTATTAAAGGACATAAGCTTTCTTGAGCTGTAGGTCACTTTATCCAGTGAATTCATCAGATGCATTATGCTTTAAATAAAAAAAAACACCTGTTACTTGGTAAAGTGCTACCATACTTTTCCTGATTTTTTTCAGTACACATCTTCACTCACAGATGAATATGGTAGCATTGTTCCCAGTAGTCCCCAAAGTATTAGTGACTCTCATGGACATCCTTGTTTGGGAGGACACTGCATCATTATCTTTAAATTTGTCTTATCAACAAGACCAAGAATGTGCAAAAATAGCAATAGCAATAGCACTTAGACTTATATACCACTTCACAGTGTTTTACAGCCCTCTCTAAGCAGCCGTTCTTAACAATTACCGTCCAGTCTCCAACCTCCCCTTCGTCGGGAAGGTTGTTGAGAAGGTGGTGGCCTTCCAGCTTCAACGGTCCTTGGAGGAAGCTAGTTACCTTGACCCCTTCCAGTCCGGTTTCTGTGCTGTAACCAGGTCTGAAGCCGGACTGGACGGGGT